AAAACTAAGAAGCAATTCATGTATCTCCTCCTGCAAACCCACATTACAAATCAAGATTAACCCCAAAAACCATTCACCTCATACGACAATCAAGCTAGAATTCAACAGTTACCCATACACCCAATTCAATAAAAACACCATGAAAATAAGTTAAAGAGAACATTTGATAACCAATTAAAGATTGCAAAATGTTAAACCCAAAACCCCCCCAATCCACTGAAAGATAATGCTTAGAAAACACAAATTGAATCCAAAAATTTACCAAAACCACAAAGAATAAAAGCTAAAAATTAAGAAGCACAAAAAGAAAATTGAAACTTTACCTGGGTTCTGCTATGGTAACCAGCAGTTTTACCCACATAGAGAAGCCTAGCATCAGGACCGACAAAATCCAACACATCATTAGACACCAATCTATCATACAACAAAAGATCAGCACTTTGAATTACCCTGACAGCTTTCAATGTCAACAGCTCTGGGTCCCCAGGTCCTGTCCCAACCAAAAACACATTCCCCGGACCACATCTCTCTCCATTCCCATCAATCCCATAACAACTCTCTCTCTTCTCCCTCAACACCTGCAACAACTTCTTCAGCTCCGGAAGCTGCAAAGCGATGTCGTTTTCCCTGACAGATTCACCATCCGAGCACGATGAAGTCATTACGGCAGGGTCGAATTGCTGCTGGGTCTGGTAAACCCATTGGTCTCTCTGGTACCTCTTTAGGGAGTGCTTCTCTGTGAATGGTGAAGAAGACCCAGATGAGGAATTGCATTGGAGACAGCAATTAACGTTTGGGTTTGAGGAAATGAGTTGTCTGCAACTGGGGAAATAGAGAGAAGAACGGAGATGATAATAAATGGAAAGCTTATACGCAAAAGCCATTGTTGAAGAAAGAAATGCACTTTCTCCAGCTCCCTCACTCTATACTCAAATGAATGAGTACAGATTTATGTATAGATTGACAGAGGAAGAAGGAATAAGAAGAAGAAGAAGAAGAGAGGCGTTTGGATTTGGAGGTTGGCCGTGTTGTTTGAAGAGCATGAGGAGGCATAGGGATACCCCTTTGGACTACTGAAGAGAACATGAACCTCTTTTGAGTTTTTGGCCCTTTTGTTTCCCTTTACTTGTAAATTGGGTTCTGCTTGAATGCATTCCAGACTACATTTTAATATATACTTTTAGAGAATTCAACCAATAAGATTCAGCCATGTGTATGTACGGTCAAAATGGGAAGTATATTGTTGATTGAGGATGTAGATTAGATTAGCTATGGCGGCTTACACATTCATGCACATGTGCCTCCTACCACCTACTTCATCCTTAAAAAACATGTTTTGAGTATTTGAAACATTATGTTGTTTGACCATGAATTTCCAATTAAGACTTTTAGCATTATAATTATTTCTTTTAGTATAATATAATATATAAGAAATTTAGATATGGTAAAAATTAAAATTGATTTTCCAATAAAAATAAAGCAGATATATTTATTAGATTAAAAACTCAATTATTTAATTTTTTTAGTGTAATTATTTTTTAGATAAATTATAGTTTGTAAAGTTTTTCATTTTAAAATTACACAAGAAAAATTAGATTTTATACAAAATCATATACTTCAGCCAGCAAGCAATTAAGAACTATGATATCAACAAATCATGTAAAGGTAAAATGTATGGTAAAGAGTTTTTCTTTTAGTAATTTTGAGATATTTATTAATCACACAATTTAAAAAATACATATACACAAAGATTTATGTATAGTATAGAAAAATGTGTGAAAGTAACTTCCTTTCTTGAAAAAAAAAAAAAAGGAACTTTTGAGGAATGAGGTGGTCTATTGAATTTCATATCCCTAGTGGAAATAATCAAACAACAAATGGTAAAATTCAAATCTTAGATTTGAAGAGCCTGTAGGAGAAATGAGGAAACTCAATTCTTATTGATTTTGATTATTGTTCTATTTGCACTTTTCACTGAACAGTAAGTTAAGCAACATTCTTGGCACTGCAAAGACTTCCCAAGTAAACTGCTTTACTTTTTGTCAGGAAGCTTCTCCAACAATTCTGGTATCACCTCAAAAAGATCTCCCACCATTCCATAATCAGCCACCTATGTTTCAGAAGTTCAAATTTTGGATTCAGTAATTGAAAATAGCAAAAGCAAGCAATGGAAGTTTTTTCCTTTTTTTTATCAGTTGTCCTATATAATATGCGCAAAGCCAGAAGGCTCAAACTCGTACATTCGGGAAAAGAGATGAAACTACTAACCATCCAACCAATAAATGGTCTATACGCAATGGAAATTGACATGGCAAAGCAAGTGTTTTTAAAAAACAAAAAAACAAAAAAGGAAACCTGTTTGCCACCTGGTTTCAATAAGACATCATTAAAAAGTGAAAACCAAGGAGTAATTTTTAAGTTTGCCCAGATAACTTGCATGCATATTTGAAAACAGATCGTGTTACTAGTCAAAAAGGGAACTGCTGCACAAATGAATTTCGTTTTGAAAACAGATAACTTGTGTGCATATTTGCAAAAAGGGAACTTTTCAAATATAGGTTAACCAATCTCACTTTTAAGAACCACCAAGGCTCTCTATCTTAATTGGAAACCTATAAATCCCATCCCCCCCCCCCCAACAAAAAGTGAATGTTCCATCCAGCTAGATATCCCACAGAAGTCTTAAACAAAATTCATAATGTCCTCTATGTGATCTACATGAGTCCGGGTGTGCTTTTATTTGTGGGTTAGAATAAGAGAGAAATGGACAGAAAGATGTATCAACTGTCACCTGGAAAATGGGCGCATCTGCATCTTTGTTAACAGCAACAATGACCTTGGAGTCTTTCATGCCAGCTAAATGTTGGATAGCTCCTGAAACACCAAACGCCATGTATAATTCTGGAGCAACAATCTTCCCTGTTTGACCAACCTGAGAGGCAAGGCAATCTTGTATTAGGAACAGCAGGGTGATACATGTATAAAATAAAGAATTAGCATGGTGTGTAAGTAATGGAAAATAAGGTTCCTTGAAATCAACACAATGATCTTCAGAGTTCAGAGGTATTTCAGTTTGTTTTTGTTTTTCTCTTTTTCTTTTTGTGAAAAGCAGAAAACTTCCATTGGGACCAAATAAGAAAGGATTTTGCCCTTGAAGACCAAGCAATCAAAAAGAATAAAAAAAAGGTAGAATTTATAGTTATAGCATACATTAAGCCATGGAACATGTTTTCCGTCTGGCTCAACAAATAAAATTTCCAAGAGTGGTCTATGATAAAGGAAAGATAGAAGGTTTCTCTTGAAGCACTGTACATTGGCATAAGAGTATTATTCTGGTTTCAAGTTGGAAAGACCATTCTAAATTTACCTGAAGGTCATTAGGAACAAATCCAGCATCAACAGCAGCACGTGTAGCACCAACTAAACAAAAGCAACAGGTTAAAGATAATGAATTCATATAATGATAAACCTACTGCAATTTAAACATCAAATAGTGATTTGATAATAAACAATTCTCTCAGTGCCAAATTATATGAGATTCTCATTTTTTTTTATATAAATGTCAATATTATGGTATTGCCATTTTATGTTGAGCACAAGCTGGCACCTGACTTCCATTATGCAATGGAGAAAGTAAAAACTTTTAAACCCAAAAAAGTGATGCAACAATGGTAGCAACAGTAAATTGAATGCAATATGCAGATGTCAATATAAGAGAATCAACCTTTTTTCCTAAAGAAGAAAAATTTGCAAAACCAAAGAACAAAATATCAGAAAGTAATCAGTAGAAAAGTACTAAGAGGAACCTGCTGCAACAAGTTTCTCTGCAAGTTTCTCAATCATTTTGAAATTCTCAGCACTCTTCAACGCCCGTCCACCAGTGACCACAATACGTGCACTTCCAAGATCAGGGCATTCTGTGTCCTGAGATGTATGCTTAACATATCTAGATTTTATCATGCAATCTGCCATGGAAATGTATAAATTTGCTTCAGTAAGAGCATGAATCCTTCTTGCTTCTTTAAGATAGAGAAATCTAATTGCTGTGTCTGTCCAAAGGATCACCAATCTTAGACCTAAGTGTGAGTAAATAACAGTGTTCGCATGTCTGCCACCAGTAAATAAGTTTAAAGAGGAGATTAAGAACCTTCTTTGTTCCTTAATTTCTATTAACTTCAAAAACATTCAAAGTACAGACTAGCCACTAATCTCATGCATTAATAGAAAAGATTAACAGACCTTCACTGAAGGTTGAGAGATCAACCTGGGAAATTGGAGCCTCATTAGATTTTGAGTCAGCTGCTACAGAGGGCACAGGGAAAGATGTAGATCTAACAGTTAACATACAAGGGTTGGCACCAGCATAACGGACTGTACAGAGAGCATTTCCAGCATAAATTGGCCTGCCATACGTGGTCAAGTAATACTTTAAATTTGAGAACCATTTAGTATTAAATTGTAAGAGTATTGTGGCTGCAGTTATAAGTAGTTCAGTTAATGAAGATCTGATTAAGGTACTTTTGAGGCATGCAAATGCAACTTAAGCTATAAACAGCTAGGCTGGGGATAAATACTGAGGAATGTCTAGGTGCTTTACTGGATGCATGTTGTAATGCGACAAAAATCTCAAAAAGCCCCTTCCTCTGCCCAAGAGGAAAGCAGTGAGCTTCCAAGTCATCGATGCTTCTAATTATTGAGAACAGGCTTAACATTAATGATGTATGTACCTGACAAACTGACAGGATCCACAAATTTCAATAACATCAGTAATTGGAGAAACATCTAAGAGAGCAGCTGCACGGGGTAGTATATTTTTCCCAAATGAACTTGAGGTAGTAATTATGTGTGAGTAGCCTCCATTTTGCTGAACCAAATGGACCAATTTAGCCCAAGGTTCTGCTAGAGGGTATTTAAATTTATCTGAATCAGCTACAAGTACCTACAAAGAGCAACATTTAACTTATAGTAAGCTTCTTAGAAATTAAATCCTTATCAATTTAAATGTCAATTTTTTTTTTCCATTACTGCAAAAGAATTGCTTTCTTGTGATAATCACCTCTTTAACCTCATAGAGATATTAAACATGTCAAAGTTGAAGTACATCATGACAACATTAGATTAAAAAATCGTACCTTGTTTAACGACCAAAATTTCTAAAATGCATCCCAATTACACAATTAGGAAAATATGGTATATATTTATGAAAGAAAAGCAACATTAATTGCTGTTGAATTCGTCCCATGTTCCCTACTGTCTTGAAACTATTAAACTAAAGGAATTGATTTCATGTCTTTGGAAAAAGTTTGTTAGTATTTGTAAAGATGCTATCCATCAATAAACAATAACCACAAAAATAAATCATTAAACAGCGAATTGAGAAATATGATTTAAATGAAACAGAAGGAAACGAATGAGATACCTGAGAAATGGAAGGATTGCAGGAGGCAGCATGAGCAGCAGCTTCTTGAAGAGAAGGACCTGACCCAGCCAATAGCATTGAGATAGAATTATCTTCCCCCAATGCCTTTGCAGCAACAACAGCACTCAGCGATTGGGTCTTCACCATACCACCATCATGTTCTGCTAGAACCAGTGTGCTAACCTATTCAGAATATCCACAAAGCAAATCAGAAACAGTATAAGTAAGCTGTCCAGAAAACCAATAATTTATAACAAAAGCAAATGAGAGTCACATGAATTGCAGTTGCATCAATAGTGAATAAACTAGAGTGATCATCACTAACAAAAAAATCAGAAAAATAATATCAAAGGGAAAAAACAAAAAAGCATGTACTCAGAGTTTGCTGCCAAAAAGGAGACAGTACAATGAAACGCAACTGTGATCAGTCTAAGCACGCGATATTTGATAAATTAAGACGCTGAAATTAAACTAATCTTAAACACGCTAATTAATTATAATTTCAATATGAGAATTACTCGGTAAAAAAATTGAAAACTAACAGGAAAAAGGAAACCGATAATAGAGCTTACGGATCTAGAAATGGAGGAAATGGAAAGAAGCTGAAGAGATGAGGAAGGGAAAGTTGGATTGGTGAGAGCTTTGAGCAGAGCTCGAGTTGCCATATTCCTTGTTCAAATTCTCCTCTGCGTAATTTCAGATATTAGGGAGATGACGATGAACAGAGTTGCGTGTTATACCGAATCGAAATGTTGGGTGTTAAACGACGTCGGATTATAAGGTTTTAATAACTTTTTTACTAGTTAATTCAGTTATCATAAACCTAATGTTTCGGCCAATTAAAATTCACAATGACCCATTAATTGAAGAAGTTTGGGCCTAATCTTATAACTTAAAACCGATTTAAACTATTTATTTTATCGTAAATTACTATATTAATATTTGAAGTTTGATAAAGTCTTATTGGATGACACGTTTTGCTTTTTCCTTCTTCAAGTATGTCGATTGTCACAAAATTTATGCTTTTTAACTTGCATTTTTTAGGTTTATTTTAATAATGTTGGAGAACGATGATGGTATAGTGACACTCAAAATTGTTGACGAAGAGGATGGGGGATGGGATGTTATTGAGGGGGGCCTCGGAGGAACATGAATTTTATGATCTTTGTCTGATTGGATGGCTCCTGACAGATGCAGTGTTGTTAAGTTTGGCCCCATGAAGAACACTCTTGCCAATATTTAACGTCTCTAAGGTGTGTTAAC